TTTGATTTTGCCACCGCCGATGCTCGTGCTACCGATGCTGCCGCTCTCGCTCGTGGCCCTGCTCCTCCGTTGTCGTCGTCGCCCTCCTTGCCCCTCCGTCGCCGCCGCCCCCGCCCTCGCCGTGGGCCGACTCGGCTTCGTCGCCGGGCGCCGGGGCCAACGGGGCGATGGAGGGCCCGCGGGGCGGCGCAATGGAGGACCCGCAGGGCGAGTAGGGCGAGGGAGGACAGAGGGAGGGATGGGCGACGAGGGGCGGGCGGAGTCAGGCAGAGTGTAGGATAAGCAAGAGGGCGGAGGAGGGATGAGGAGCAGGGCGACGAAAAGGAACGCGAGGATGGCGATGAGGCGGGGAGGGTGACCAAGAGGGCGAAGGGGAGCTCGAGGACGAGGAAAGCAATGTTGGAGGAGGCGGGGAGGAAACTTAAGATGGCCAGAACGCGAGGCGGAATGCATCGGGGCATTTTTGCGAAGCCTCGTGCCAACCCTTCTGGCACGCAGATCCTGCGGACTGCGGGGCGCTGCCGATCCCTGGCGTCCAATCGCAGGCGTGCAATGAGGGGCGAAGGCAGGATGAGTCGTTGGAGGGGGAGCTCAGGAGGGGGAGGAGGAGGGGGGATCAGCAGGGGGAGGAAGATAAGGAGGAGGAGGAGAAGGAGGAGGAGGATGAGGAATGCGAGCAGGAGGAGGAGGAGTGGTAGCGCCTTCTGGCTAAGTGAGTGACCGTCTTGGGCTTTCCTCCTCCTCAACCTCCTCCCCCTGATTGTCCTCCTCCTCCTCCTCCTGTTCCCCGTCCTCCTCCTCCTCCTCCTCCTCATATTCCTCCTCCTCCTCCTCCTCCTCCTCCCTCATCGTCGCACTCGCCCTCGCTCCGACCATGGCCAGTGCTCGCTCGACCTCGAGTGGTTTCACGGCCCCCCGAAGTTTTAGCAGTGACCAGGAAGCCCCCCAACATGGGCAGAGGATGGCAGCCCTGAGAGACAACATAAAAGCTAAAGAGGCTGCGAACTTGATTTCGAGGGCATAACACTTTCAATGCCCAGCGTTTGGCGCGTTCGCCTTCCGACCTCTTCCGAGGCGCTGTCTTACCTTATGCTCCTCCTCCTCCTTCTCCTCCTCCTCCTCCTCCTCCTCCTCCCCCTCCTCCTCCTACTGCAAGCCCAAGCCCTCACTGGGAGGGCAACCGCTTGAAGAACGCGGTCAACTTCTGCTGCCCTGGAGCCTCTGCTGTGCCCTCCGAGCGCTCGCCCACCCTCCGCAGCTTGGGGGGGCTCTGGAACACGGCGACGGGGGGCAACCTCTCGGCCCAGTCCGCGACCTGGACGTTGCCGACAGTCTGCTCATCGTCGAGCGCCTGCTGATCCACGAGCGGGGGCAACCGCAGGAACCAAGGAACCACGCGGAAGGTCTCGGTCGCGTCCTCGAACAATTTCAAAAGGCGATGAATCGGAACCATGACGCGGCCAATCGTGGGAACAGGCATAGTATTTCCGAGCGCAATCACAATCGTCGAAGCCCTGATCACACCAACGAGCGAATCTGGAACGAACCCCATCGTTTGGCAGCGCTCCGCCAAAGTCAAGAAGCGGCCCTTGCCCCACACCTTGTTCGGCGAGGCTCCGAGGAGCCAGAGGTAGTGCGACTTCGTGGTCATGCAGGGCAGGGCGTCCACGTGCAAGTAGGACCCGAAACGCTTCGACGGGTTCCTGGTCAGATCGCAAGAGCCAATCGTGCCAGCCGGGGGCTCCTTGGCGCTGAACATCTGATTGTACACCTGGGGAGCGGGCCAAACACGACCAGAAAAATCCAACATGTGGGAGATGATGGGTGGCCAAAGGGGGGGAAAAGTAAAGGGCCAGGAGGAGGGGGAAGAAAGGGAAGGAGGAGGAGGGGAGGGGAACGGTGGAGGAACAGATGGGGGTGCTGGACCACCCCGTCGTCCTCCCCCTGACCCTCCTGACCCTCCTCCTCCTCGTCCTCCTCCTGCTCCTGCTCCTCCTCCTCCTCCTGTCCCTCCTTCTCCTAGCTCAACTCCTCTACTCCTCCTGTGCCGCCGCCTATTCCTCCTCTTGATCCTGCTCCTCTCGGGCCCACCCCCATCCTCCCCCTCCTCCTCGTCCTCCTCCTCCTCCTCCTCACCCTCCTCCTCGACCACATTTCCGACTCCGCTGTCAATCATTTAAGGGCGTTGGTTGGGGGAGGCAGGGGGCCTCCACGTTGCTCGCCAGGCCGGGCGCGTCGGGCGTCTCATCCATGCGGTCGGCGTCGTTCAAGAACTGGGAGAGGGGCACGGGGTCCATCTTGCGGCAGGGCTCGAGAGGCTCGCGGAAGCTAATGTGCTGGCGAATCGGGCGGAACAGGATGGAGCGAAAGCCCGAGATGTAGATCCGAGCCCTCTTCGACGGGAGCCCGTCGCCCGTCGAGCAGACCTCCTGCCACGTGACGTAGAACTCCTGGGGGGGGGTCTCGTCGTCGTGGTCATCGCTTTCATGACCGATCAGCGCCTGCTCTATCGGCCACGTCGGGGGGATGTATTCCAACTGCGTGCTTGCACTGTTGGCCCTATCGAACGTGTTACCACTATCCCCAATCAGTGCTTGCACCATTCGCACAGGGGGGCCAAGTCAGCGCTGACACTACGGACGACGACGACGACCACCGCGACGACTAACGATAACTACGGCGACGAGGACAGCAACGACGACGACGACCATGGACGCCGACGACGACGACGACGACGACAACTACGGACGACGACGACGACGACGCGAGTGCCGATGGGCGACGACGGCGTCCGTCGTCGTCCGTCATCGTCGTCGTCGCGAAGTCGTCGTCAAGTAGTTGTTGTCGTCCGTCGTCGTGGTCGTCGTCGTCGTCCGTCGTCCTCGACGTCCGTCGTCGTAGCCAGTCGTCTTCGTCCGCCGTTCGTCGTCGTCGCCCGTCGCGCGGAGCTCGCGTGGGGCCCAACGACGTCTGAAACGTTATGTACACATCAGCGACAGTCAACAGGCTCAGGCTGCTACCCGCTGATCCTCCTCACCCTCTTCCAACTCCAATCCCCTCACCAGCGTTAACTCGCTCGGCATGCCGAGCTGCCCCATCCTCCTGCTCCTCATCTCTATGGCGCCTTACCATTCCGCCCTCCCCCCCCCCATTCGGATCCGACATGTGCTGCTTAAACCAAGGGAGGATCGTCTCGAAGAGACTCGCAGGCTGCTTCTTGTACTTCATTGCTATGCCTTTCACGTTCTCTAACACGAACCATTTCAACTGCTTGCTCCCCTGCCACTTCAGGAGCTCCAGCATCTTCAAGCACACCGACGGTGGGGAGCAGCACGCGGCGACGAAGGCCGGCAGGGGCAGGAGGGCGCCCATGGGAGGAGAGCTGGATGACAGAAGCGAGGGAGGGTAAGCTGATCACGACACGCAGCAGGAGGAAGTGGCTGGGGCGTGGAGGACGCGCGGGGGCAGGGGATGGGGAGGAGAGCGGAGAGGGGTGGGCAGTGGGATAAGCTAGGATGGAGAGGGCCAGGGGCGGGGCGGAGGGAGGGGGTGGGCAAGACGAGGATTGAGAACAGGACGCACAGCAGCATCAGCAAGAGTTCGAATCAAGCCGATCGCACCAGAGCCCTGTCGTCGTCGAAGCACCCCCGGGAGCCAACGAACGACCAGGGCGGGCATGGCCACCCGCAAACGAAGCCGTCGGTCTTGTGGAAGACCCCACCCTCGATCTCGTTCAGCGCGTTGACGCGCAGGCGCAAGATGTCCCCCGCCGCCTGCGGGCGCGCGGCTGGAGGGGGGATGGCCGAGCAACGACTGCGGCTGCGGCGACGACGACTGCGGCTGCGGCGACGGCAGACGACGACAGACGACGACCGACGACCGACGACCGACGACGACGACGGACGACTGACGACGACGACAACGACGACGACAGACGACAGACGACAGCGGCGACGACGACGACGATAGACGATAACGACAACGAATGACGACGACGACGACGAGGACGACGACGACGAAAAACGACGACGACGCGACGTCGCGACGACGGACGACTGACGACGACGACAACGACGACGACAGACGACAGACGACAGCGGCGACGACGACGACGACGGACAATAACGACAACGATGACGACAACGACGAGGACGACGACGGCGAAAAACGACGACGACGCGACGTCGTCCGACCCATGCGGTGCGCCTGGGAGGGTGAGCTCATACGGAGCGAGGCGAAGTCTGGACGTCTGAGCTGTATCTTTTCCCCTATCACATCGTGCGTTGGCGGCGGCTGTGTATGCTGCCTCGAACCGTTGCCCAGCGAGCGCCCCTCGGGGGCATCGTCCATCGAGGGGGCCCGCAAATCCCTTGGCTGGAGGCGTGCTGGCGCCGCGCCGCATGCACACCTTGGCAAAGTATTATGCAGGGTCCCTTGGGAGACGTGAAAACAGAGCTGCTCACGCTGTAGCTCATTGCCCCGAGTTGTCATGTAGCCTTCCCTGTACCCCCCCCGCTACTGAGCAGTAAATCGAAAGGCCCATCGCCGATCTCCCCACGGCGACAGGCAGAGCACTGGGGCAACGCATTGCGCTGCCTCCCAGGGTGCTAGAGGCCAGGAAAGTCAGCCAGCGGTGGAGCAGGGAAGCAGACTTAGGGACGTGGAGGAGACATAAGAGGTGCACGACACAGAGTACACTCGCTGGAGATACGAGGAGGACGCGAAGGCAATGATAAAGGATATTGGGATATCGTGATGAGGATGGCTGGGGGTCTTGAAGGCAAGGAGGGAGAGGCGACGTGGCAGGAAGATGAGCAAGTTGAGGATGACCAAGCAGGAGTGAGAGGTGGAGGGTGGAAGGGCCGCAGCAGGAATAAGGAGGGCATCAGCAGCGGCAGCATCATCAGCAGTGGCAGCTCTGGAGGGGAAGAGGGTGAGAGTCGAGAGTGCTTGGAGCAAGGACCTGCAAGCGCGGCATGCAAGCGCAGCCCTTGGAGCGCCTACGCCGCCATGCCGCTCTGCGCGTTGAGCGACAACCACTTCCACCACTCCTCGTAGAGGGTCCCACGGATGCCCTGGTAGGCCTCCATCGCGGCGGAGACGGTCTTCTCCACGACGACGAGCTCCTCAGGCCAGGGGGGCGACGTGCCCCACCTGATCCCCTTGGTCAAGGATGTCCGAAACTGCGCGTACACGTACCCAGTCGGCAACACGGCGACGTCGCCACTCGAGAGGACGAAGCAAAAGTTACCGTCCTGCCTTCCCAGGGTCAGCATGTCATGGCCAGACAAGCCTTTCAGGTACTCCACCTGGTTGGAGAGCCCGCGATTCTCGGTGTCGATCTTGACTCCCAGGATCACCTCCTCCCCCTCCAAGATCATGCGGGCCTCGGCCAAGCCATACGGGAGGGGCGCCACCGCAGAGTGCAAGCGCGGCAGGATGAAGCACTGGGCCCCATAGAGCGTCTTGTGGAGCGCCTGCTCCTTGGGCCCCGAGGCGATGAAGGCGGAGCGGAACAGGTACCCCACATCCTTCTTCTCGAGCTTGCTGAGCTGGCGGATCTGAGCCAACACCGCCGGCTGGACCACGTTGCCGTAAGCAGGCGAAGCGCCCGCCGAGCCCCAGCTCTCAATCTTGGTGCGCATCCACGCCTCACAGGCCTTCCAGCCCGATGCCACCGCCACGTCCTTGCACAGCGAGGGGGTGCTGACCACGACCGCCTTGCCGAAGGCCAGCTCGGAGAGGTCGCGAAGAACGCCGACTGGAGAGCCCCGCGCCTCAGCCGCGAGGACCTGCATCGCGGGGCCGAGGTTGCTCGAAAGGTCCACCTCCATCTGCGGCGCCTCGCTCTCTGCCTTGCGCTTCTTGCCCGCAGCGGATGCGTCGGCCGCCTTTCTAGAGAAGTGCGCCTTCGCGTCCTGGATCACCCTCTTGGTTGCGACGGTGTGGCTGTGGACCTCCTTCTGCGAGTCGAAGAGAACCTTCAAGCTGCCGCGAAGGGCCTTGACGTCACCATCCCAAGAAACGCTCCTGACGCTAGCCTGCAGCTCAGCATGCCGGCCAGAGATCCGCGCCACCTCTTCGTCGCACTTAGTCCTCACCAGGACGAGCTTCGGGTAGACCGCAGACCAGGTCTCGCTCTCCAAGTCTTCCTTGGAAACCCTGCACTCGATGAACTCCTTGACCGAGAGGGCCTCGGAAGCCTCGGGGGATGCGTGCATTTGAATGCAAACGGAGACGAGGCGAGTGGAAATAACATATGGAGGCAGTAGAGGGAAAGGGGAGAGGGGATAGAGAACAGGAAGAAGTTTGGAAAATGAGAAAGGGGAGAGGAAGAGGGGGGTGATGAGAGGGGTGATGGAGGCAAGGGTGCAAGGGAGGAATGGAGTTATGGAATGACGAGGTGCAAAAGAAGGGAAAAGCGAGGCAAGGGAGCAAGCGAGGGACACAGAGGACAAGAGGACAGCGAGGAGGGCCCCTGGGGAGGAGTCCGGGAGAAGGTCGCTTTGCAGCGAGTGCGGTGAGTTCAGAGTGCGGGGCGCGAGGGGGCGGAGGAGGAGGAGGAGGCGGAGGAGGGGGGGGGGAAGATGAAGAGGAGGAGGAGGCGGAGGAGGAGGCGGAGGAGGAGGCGGAGGAGGAGGGTGGGAGTCCTCCTCCTCCTACTCCTCCCACCCCCTCCCTGGCACTCCAGCGCAGCCCTTCATGGGGCCGTTTCATTGCTGCCCACCTGGCACTCCAGCGCAGCCTTCATCTTGGACAGCTGCGACTCGATCGCCTTCTCCGCCCCGAAGCGCGCCTGCACGATGTTCGTGACCTTGTCGCCCGAACTGCCCTGCGAGTGGGCCCTGGCCTCGACTTCCTCGGCAAGGATCATCGCCTCGTAGCGCCTCTGGGCCTCCTTCCGCTCCTGCTGGGACTGCAAGGAGCTGTTGAACTGGGCGCCGAAGTTGCCGACAGACTCCGCGGTCATGGGCGCAGCGCTCGGGGAGTCGTGAATGGCCTCCATGAAGGCGTCGGGCGGCGCGATACCATTGGCAGAGTCGTCCTGCGGCAGGGCGGCGATAGCCAACTGGGCGCCCGACCTGGTCGCATTCATGCTCTGCGCCATCTGTGCCATGAACGCGTCGAGATTCGACTGGCTCGTCGTCCGCTTCCTGAGTGGCTGTCGCACATGTCCTGGACGCTGTGATCTGGTCAGCTACGATGCCCTGGTACTCGCCGATTAACCACTGGCCGCGGTTCTTGGGATCAGGCATGACCGCGAACTGCTTGGACATGCAGCGACGGCGGAACTCAGCCACCTGAGCTGGGCGACCCACGAAGCCCTCCAAGGCGAGGTCGCGGGCAACGAGGGGCCACGGCTTCCAGTGGGTCCTGGACCTGGCCTCCTCGCCCTCTTCCTTCGTGGAAGTCAGCGCGATCCTGACCAGCTCCTTGCTATCCTCGGGCGCAGTCGAAAAGAATGAGGGCATTACAAACAAAAATCATTGGTGGAGGTGGAGTCGGAAGGGGGCGGAGTAGGCAGAGCAGGAGAGGGGAGGAACAGGGACAGGGCGGGAGCAAGAAAGGGGAGAAGAGGGGGAGGACAAGCAGGGCTGGGACTTACCTCCCCCCAACGCTGGGCCCCCCCAGGTGACTTGCAACTGCGACCAGGAGGCCCCCCCGATCTGCGCGGCCACGAGGCTGGCCCGGGCTGTGCAGGGGGTGGGGTCAGAGGGGAAGGTGCCCACCTTATCCCCCTCCCACTTCTCGTATTCCCTCCTCCCACTGGACCTCCCACTCTGCCATTTCGCATCCCCACCCTCCTCCTCCTGTACCCCTGTCCTCAGGGAGCGTTCGACCAAGTGGTGTGGGCCCCCCTTGGCCCCTTGGCGTTTGCGCCACACCCGCTGGTCCGGGATGGCTTGGTTGCGGTGGTTGGCGTACCATTCCATCTTCTCCGCTTCGGTCTTGTCGCTGAACCATTTCTTAAGCTGCTTATTCTTTTTCCATCGCTTCGTCAGGTTCTTATAGTTCCTAACGCACTTCTCGCAAGTGTCTTTCGAAACCCTCTCGTCTTCGTTCTTCTCATGGCTCGGCAAGGTCAGGCCGCACTTCTTGCAGTCGAAATCGTCGCAGCCCATGCCGCCCCATGTCTCTTCGGCCGCCGGGTCGGGCAAAACGAGCTCATGGCCGCCCTTCACGACGGGGGCGCACTTCAGCCCAGGCAACCCAGGCGTCCCAGGCGCCGGGCCAGGGCTCCAAGACGGCACATCGGTCTCAGCAGGACCGAGACCGAGAGAAGCGAGGGCGTCGACACCGCCCGTGATAGGGGTGCGCGTGCCCCCGCCCTCTCCGATGCCATCGCCGCCCCCGAACTCCACGTCTGCATCAGGGCCAGTCTCATCCTCAGCCTCCTCCTCGCCCTTATCCTCCTTCTCAGCCTTATGAGGGTGCTTCTCATCAAGATTGGCAGCACCATCTTTCGCCACCTCGGCTCCAGTTACAGCACTCCCGACACCACCTGTTGCGGATGCCACCTCAGGGGCCTTCGATGCGGGCGCTGCCTGCTGGGGCACCTCCGCGGCCGCGGGCGCTGACGGCGTGCCAGCGGCTGTCGCCGCGGGCGGAGGCGTGGCCTGCTCCGTCGGCGGCGCAGTCTGCTTGCCGAAGGCGGAGGCGATGCTCTGCATACCTGGCGGGGTGCCCGCAGCAGTCTTGGGCTTGTTGGGGGCCATCAGGAAGATGCTCGCTGGGCAACTCAACTGAAGGGCCCCAAGCTCACTCAGGAGCAAGACACCTGCTGTCTCTAACCAATCACCTCGAGCCCAAATGGCTCGGTAAAACCTCCTCCTCCTCCTCGTCCTCGCTCTCCTCCCAAGTCTCCCCACCCCCCTGCCCTCGCCCCTCGGGGCACGCTCCATCTGGCGGGGAGAGGAGGGAGGGAGGGGCCACTGCATCCAGGATCAACTGCATCTGGGACCACAGGACCACGGCCGATCGGGGTGCGGGGTGCAATCCTTGCATGGATCGCCCCAAAAGCTTAGACCATATCTGCTCAGACGCACGTCACATCACACGTTCCCGTTTCCACCCCCTCATCATCATTCATCATTTCCCCTCACTAATCATATTTGCATCTGAAATTTGTCGAATGTGTAGTATGTAGAACAATGCATGTTCATGTATACGATTTCGTCATGAACATATCATCATGGTACCAACTGGCCGTCACAATTAGGGCTCAAGCGATTCCCGAGATCATTGCCAGAGATCACACCTAGCTCAGCCCGAGATCATCGCTCAGCCCGAGATCATTGCCAGAGATGACCCCCAGGACGCCGTCCCAGCCCGCCCTGAAATGCTTCACGGAGCTCAAAAAGTGGCACACGCATACTACTGACCAAGGGTGGGTGGGTCACCTCATCGGCCTCAATTGGCAGGCGAACGAAGTGATTGAGACGTGGCGCTGGACGCCGCCAACGGACGACAAGGGCGACAAGGGCGGCACGGTCATCAAGGGCGGCACGGCCATCAAGGGCGGCACGGTCCGCAAGGGCGACACGGTCCGCAATGGCGGCACGGTCGACAAGGGCGACACGGTCAGCAAGGGCGACACGGTCGGCAAGGGCGACAAGGGCGGCACGGTCCGCAAGGGCGACAAGGGCGGCACGGTCCACAAGGGCGACAAGGTCATCAAGGGCGGCACGGCCCGCAAGGGCGACACGGTCAGCAAGGGCGGCACGGCCAGCAAGGGCGGCACGGTCCGCACGGGCGACAAGGGCGGCACGGTCCGCAAGGGCGACACGGGCGGCACGGTCCGCAAGGGCGACAAGCGCGGCACGGTCCGCAAGGGCGACAAGCGCGGCACGGTTCTCAAGCGCAAGCATCGCTGAGCTCTAGAGATTGGGCACGTCGTACACAATGTTGTATGCAGATTGGTTCGACATTGAAATGGTGAGGGGTGGGATGGAGATGTGCGGGGTGGTGAATATACGGGGATGGAGAATGGATGTGCAAGAGGCATGGATGCGGACGGTGATGTTGGAGGAGGGACTTGGATGGAGGGGAGGAGGGAGGGACCACTGCGAGTGATAGCTCAGGGAGCGCCCGAGACGGAGGGAAGGATGGGGGGGTCGCCACTGGAATGCCGACCGACGCTTGGATGGAGGGAATGAGGGACTGGCCCTCGTGCTGCCGAGGAGGCATGGCCGAACGGGGAAGAGCTGCAAAGGTGCAAGGGTGCGACCTCCTCCTCCTCGGAAGTCTCGGACTGCCCGCAAGGATGCCAGCTTCCCAAGGAAATCCTCCAAGGCCTGGACTCAGTGGGCAGGAGGGGTGGTCATGATAGTAATGGTGATGGTGCTACTTGTGATGACGGTGGCGATGATGACGGTGCTGATGATCATTGGAGACGGTAGTGACGATGATCGCGGTGGCGACGAGAAGGACCGATTCGACGACGATACCGACGACGACCACGACCACGACCACAACCACGACGACGACCACGACGACGACGAGCACGACGACGACGACGACGACGACGACGACGACGACGACGACGACGACGGCGGCCACGACGACGACAACTGCCACGAGGACAACGACGACGACGACGAAGACGACGACATGCTGGCAGTCGGGCGGGGCAGGGCGCGGCACACCGCACCGTAGTGGAAGCAGTCGTGGCGGGTGCCCAGGGAATCGTGCAAGAGCTTTGCGGCCGGCTCCAGCTTGTCCTCCCGCCCCCTCTCCGCCGTTCCCCTCCCTCGTCTCCTCTGCAGTCGATCAGATGTCCTACTGGTCTTCTCATTCTTGAGCCCTCGTATCCCGAAAGTCCCTGCTTGCCCACCTCCCCCTGGCTCCCCCATATCTCCCCCCCCATCCACCTCCTACTATTCCTCCCCCTCTGTTTGGGCGACGTTGTCATCACTGCCCTCGCCACTCGCAGCCCGATCACCACGCCCATTGCACATGGACCCCCCATCCCCTTCCTCGATGTCGTAGACGTTGCAAGCCTTCCAGTCCCAGCCAGCTTCGCGGGCAGCGCGTTCGGCGGCTCCGATGCCTCCCCGATCGCGCGTGGAGGGAGCGGCAGAGAGTGAGCGACAGGGAGACGACAGCCGAGCGAGGGGCTGAGAAGGGGAAGCACTAGCGAGAGGGAGCGACAACCTCCCAGGCCCTGGACTGCCTCCAGCGGCTGCCCCCCGAATCCGACCCACAGCCCCTGCACGGCCCCTCCTGCGCAGAGCAGCGTCACCAGCTGCTGGCCTCGAGGGCGGCCGTGGTCAGGGCAGATTGATTGCCGCACCCACAAAGGGTCATCATAGCAATACTGGGCCTGCCCAGCCATCCCTTGAGGAGGCCGATCGCGAAGGGGGCCCGGGCACGCCGCTGGGGAACACCGCAGCCCTGGAAGAGCCCTTGAGGCAAAATGCATCGGAGCCCGTCGGAGCACTGGACGGGCGACGACGACTCGGGGGCCCAAGTCTCTGGGCAGGTCCAAGTCCATCTAAGGCAATTGTGGGAAGGGTAACACATATTGCAAAGCCCCCCCACCCACTGCAGCATCTAACCAACTCCCTGGGAGCACAGGGGTCACATACCAGATACGGCGAGCGCTAAAGGGCACAGGGGTCAGATGCAAGAAGCTATGAACGCTCAAGGGCACAGAGGTCTCAGGCAAGGACATATGAGTACAACCCGACTGGCCAGCCCTTCGCCTGCCGCTGACCTCGCCAAGCTACCGTGCCACCGTCGGCCCCCATCGGCCAGGTGGGGCGTTCTCGGGGAGGCGGAGACAACTAGTTCGTCTGCGTGTGGTATTGTGTTTGCGCGTGTTCTCCTTCCCCCCGAAGCCAGCCTGTGCGTGCGGTTTTTTGCTTGCCTGTGCATTTTCTGAATGTTCGTTCGAGGATTCGGGCCTCGGGGCCGTCAAAAAAAACAAAAACAACAAACAAAAAAAAAAAACGCGTTGCGACCTCGCGATTTCCTTTCCGCCCCCCCACTGAACCCCCGCCCCCTCCCGCCCCCCTCCCGCCCCCCTCCCGCCCCCCTCCCGCCCCCCTCCCGCCCCCCTCCCGCCCCCCTCCGCCCCCCTCCGCCCCCACTCCCGCCCCCCTCCCCGCCCCCCTCCCGCCCCCTCCCGCCCCCCTCCCGCCCCCCTCCCGCCCGCCCCCCTCCCGCCCCCCTCCCGCCCCCCTCCCGCCCCCCTCCGCCCCCCTCCCGCCCCCTCCCGCCCCCCTCCAGCCCCGGCTCCAGCAACCGCTGCCTTGTCGCTCGCGTTTCGTCGACCAGTGGGCCGGGACTTTGTGCGTTGTGGTGGTTTGAAGTCGTTTTCGCTGATGTTTTGCGCTGTGGTCGCAAGTCTGTGGCGCGGTTCAGTCATGGCGTGCTTGGCGCGTGGTGGTGCGCGTGAACGATGCGAAATTACTGGCTGACAAAAGTGAGCACATCAGAATATAAACCGATGGCCCGAATAAAACGCACCGAATGGATGAACCTGGCGCCCACCTGGCTTGGAGCGACGTCACGCTTCGACAATCACCAACGCAAGACACATTCTGAGGGCCGTGGGCTGGGGAGAGCAAGCACAACGGCAACGAGAAGGCTGAGTCCGAGAACCTGAGAAGGATAACAGTTAGAGAACATGGACCCCAGCATGTGGACCCGCACACAGCGCACCGCACTGGGCATGCCAGTGCACATGGGCCTCACAGGAAGGATCCCAGAGTGCAAGCAAAGTCTGGGGCAAGAAGGAGCGACGAACGCACCTCCCGCGCGCCCCTCGGAGCGCGCCCCCAAGATGCATGGGGCGAGTTCTGCGTGGCGGATTACATTCCCGAGGCCCCCAGAGCCCCACTGAGGCAAAAGCTGCTCGAGGGCCAGGGCGCGATTCGAGGGCATGCGTGAGGTGAGGTCCCCGCTCCTCCTCCTCTTCCTCCTCCTCCTCATCCCTGCCTCCACCTCTCCCATCCTTCCTCCGCCGCGGCGGGCCAGGGCAAGCCCCTTTTGCCTCTCCGCCGCTCGCGACGATCAGGAATGCTCGCCCTGGGCGACCTCCGCCATGGCCTCCGCGAGCTCGTCAGCACCAGGCCTGACGCGGCAGCGACACGGGGGGGCAGAGACGGAGCGGCGGAGCAGAGTTGCGAGCGAAGAGTGGGGGCCAAAGACAGAAGGTCGGTGGAGATGGGGCTGGTTAGGCAGGGTTGTCGGGACGCTGTGCAGTGCGATGCGCATGGGGCTGAAAGAAAACTGTTCCTCTCCTCCCTATCCTCCTGCTGCTCACCCATCCCCTCTCTCCTACACCGCCCTCCTCGTCGCAGCTCGCGCCCCCTCCTCCCCCTAGTTGCCACAGCGGACGCAGCGCGGCGGAAGCCGAAGAGCAGCCGCCCACCCATTGTCACTGATCAGGATCATCAGACCAGGAGCTGACAGGGGGAGCGACGACAGGGTCGAACGATTCTTGGCAGAGCGAACCAGCAGCACGTCGAAAGAATGCAGCGGCGCCGAGAGCTGACCGACCCGTCTACACAATATTAGAGCCTAAGTGCAACTAACCTCATTCGGCGCTCATCGCGCGCCGTGGCACGCAGCCCACATCAGAAGCTCTCAGCCTCTGTGATCGCACCGCCGTATGGAACTATTTCTGGGAGAAGTCCAAATGCTCGCAATCCGAGACCTCCGCGGA